CACAGTCTGTGGCTGGCTTACTCATTGCCTTCAAGGTATCTTAACAATTTTGTTCATTAAGGTATAATTGACATATTACATGACTTTCTGGTGTACAATATAATGATTGGATATTCACACAGTCTGAAATGATCACTATCATAAGTCTAGTTACCATCTGTCACCATATAGAAAATTGTAGGATTTGGGGCGCCTGGGTGGCGCAGTCGGTTAAGCGTCCGACTTCAGCCAGGTCACGATCTCGCGGTCCGTGAGTTCGAGCCCCGCGTCGGGCTCTGGGCTGATGGCTCAGAGCCTGGAGCCTGTTTCCGATTCTGTGTCTCCCTCTCTCTCTGCCCCTGCCCCGTTCATGCTCTGTCTCTCTCTGTCCCAAAAAATAAATAAACGTTAAAAAAAAAAAAAAGAAAATTGTAGGACTTACTCTTCTGGCAACTTTCAAGTATGCTCTACCAATACTTGACTATAGTCCCCGTGCTGTACTCACTTATTTTATAACCATTAAGTTTGTGTCTCTTCACCTGCTTCACTCATTTCATCCACTCCTCCCCTCTGGCAGCAATCATTCTGTTCTCTGTATTTATTTCTTTTGTTTTTCAGATTACACATATAAGTGAAATCCACATATTTGTCTTTATGTGTCTGGCTTGTGTCACTTAGCATAATGTTCTTTGGGTCCATCCATGTCATTGCAAATAAAGGATTTCCTTCTTTTTTATGGCCGAATATTCCATTTCGTGTGTGTGTGTGTGTGTGTGTGTGTGTGTGTGTGTGTGTATTACAGATTTTTATCCATTCATCTGTTGATGGACACTTAGGTTGTTTTCATGCCTAGGCTGTTATAAATCATGCTTTAGTGAATAATGCAATGCTAAGATTTGTTTTTTGAGCTAGTGATTATATTTCCTTTGGACAAATATCCAGAAGTGGAATTTCTAGATTACATAGTAATTTTTTAAAAACAATTTTGAGGAACATCTATACTGTTTTCCATGGTGGAGAGGATAAATTAATGTAGCTAATTACCACCAACAGTGCACGAGCGTTCTCCTTTCTCCACCTCCTCACCAGTACTTGTTATTTCCTGTTTTTTTTTTTTTTTTTTTTTTAAATAATTATCATTCTGACAGGTGTGAGGAGATACCTCATAGTGGTTTTGATTTGATTCTCTGGTGATGAGTGATGTTGAGCATCTTTCCATGTGTCTGTTGGACATCTGGATGTCTTCTTTGGGAAAATGCCTACCCAGATTCTCTGCCCATTTTTAAATTGGATTTTCTTTTGACATTGAGTTTTATGAGTTCTTTATATATTTTGCATGTTAACCCCTTGTTGCCCATATTATTTGCAGATATTTTCTTCCATTCGGTAGGTTGTCTTTTCACTTTGTTGATGGTTTCCTATGCTGTGCGGAAGCTTTTTAGTTCTATGGAGTCCCATTTGTTTATGTTTGCTTTATTGCCTTTGCTTTTGGAGTCAGATCCCAAAATGTATCACCAAGACCTATGTCAAGGAGCTTATTATTTTTTTTCTAGGAGTTTTATGGTTTCTGGTATGGTTTCTTACATTCAAGTCTGAATCCATTTTGAGTTAATTTTGTATATGGTGTAAGATAAGGGATCCAGTTTTATTTTATTTTATTTTTTTGCGTGTGGCTATCCAGTTTTCCCAACTCCATTCATTGAAGAGACCATCCTTTCCCCATTGTATGTTCTTAACTCTTAATGATATGGTTTAATGACCAGAAGTTTCACATTTGGATGAAATCTAATTTATCAGGTTTTTAAAATTTTGTCTTTTTTTTTTTTTTTTTTTTTTTTGGTCTTAAAACCTTTTTCTACCCCAGGTTATAGAGGTATGCTTTCTTTCTTCAAGTTGTATTATGGTTTTAACTTTTATATTTAGGTCTGTTATCCAACCCTAATTAATTTTTGTGTAAAGTATAAGGTAAGGGATGAGGTTCATTCTGTTTTTCCATATTGATAAGAACTTATTTGCACCATTTGTGAAAAGATTTTCTCATTAAATTATCTTGATGTCTTTGTCAGAGGTCAACTTCCAGTAAGAGTATTGGTCTATTTTTGGACCCATCTGTTCTGTTCTGTGTCTTCATTGCTGTACATCTATAGTAAGTCTAGAAGTCAACTTTTTTTTTCTTCTTAAGATTGTGTGGCTATTTTAGGTCCTTAGTATTTCCATGTGAATTTTAGAAGCAGCTTGTTAATTTTTATTTTTTATTTTTCTATGTTTAATATTTATAAATAATTAATTAAAATGTCTCCTGGGTTTATGATTAGGATTGCATTGAACCTGTAGATCATTTGGGTGAATGGATGTCTCAATAATTATTGAGTCTTGCAATCCACGTGCATGGTACACATCTTTTGTCTCCTCTGCTGTAGGCTTGACTCTTTAGATAGAGTATTATTGTTGATATAGTGCATCTAAGGTGCTTAGCACATTTAGCCTGGGATATATAATAATCTACCCTTTAATGTTAATATATATTATTAGTTATATTAGTGTTCACAAAGCCTTATAAAGTACCTTCTGTGTGTGTTCTTATTTTACTCAGCTTAGAGCTTGACCATGGTTACACAGCTAATAAATGGCTGGGCAGGGTTTGGAATGAGGCCTTTATGACTCTAAAAGCCATGCCTGTAACTGAATGTCACTGGAAGCCAAGGGCAGTGAGCCTCGAATTTAATTTGTCTGCATTTTGGGGATGGTCTTATGTTTTGGTAGGTTAAAGTTGGAATTTCCAACAACAGAATTTATTCTGAATGATTTAAGCAACACAGGAACTCGTTAAGGGTACATTATCTCACAGAGAAGGAACCCCGGCCACTTATGGCCTTGTTATAGGACGGTTGGGGAGGGGAGGAGATACGTGAGCATTGGACTCCCAGCTGGAGGGATTACCACAAATTTGGAGGAGGAGCCATAAGTGATTCCCCAGCATATGTTGTCTGCTAATTTATAGGTTTTCCTCTACTGGCAGTGATACGAAAGCAAGATTTCGTGAGAATTTAAATCTATATTGTAAATTCTCAGCTAGTGTTTAAGCAAATAGGTGATTATGTTTCCCCCTTTTGTATATGTGTTAATCTGTTATAAGAAAGACTCTAGACACATAACAGCGTTTGAGTCGTGTCTCTGCACTTATGACTGGCATGACCTTGCCCGAGGTACTGTTAACCTGTGTGTAGTTCTCTCACCTGTGAATTCAGAACATACAATGCCTCGTTCATAGTAGTATCTTAAGGTGTCTTGAGCTACCGTGCATAAAGCGCTTAACATAATGCTTGATGTACAGTAAGAACTCAAAAATATTACCTATTTTATAGATACACGTTTTCGCATACATTCTGTGTGCGGATTGTTTAACTGTGGGGAGGGCCTAACCTTTTTCTCCTATAGATACAGGCACTTACAGAGTGCGTAGAAAGAGCCCCGACCTTTCAAGATACGGCAAATGTTAAAGTTGTTCTAAAGTGGGAGAATATTTGGTAATAAAATGCCAGCAGCCCTTGCTTCCACAGAGGTTTCATGTTTATTAGCTTAGACAATTGCCACTGAGCTGTTATGGGCTGCTGGACTTCGGAGTCCATTTTCTGCAGTGTCCTGAGGACAAGCCACATGGAAAATGAACTCGCGGTTTTCTGTATGGCGTCGTCTGGCTGCCAGGACACATGCCAGCTGGTCGGAGGTCTCTCTCGATTTTGCACGTGGCTGTGCAGTAATACAGAGCAGAGCAGAGCCGCATCTGGTCCATTCCGAATGTCATTACTGCGTCTCCTCTGAGGCCCCGCTTCTCGCAGCTCTCCCCCCTGCTTGCATGGAGCCCTGCCCAGGTGACAGCAGAGCGTTGCCCGGGAAGGGTCAGTGTCCTGTGGCATGCACTCCTGCACCTGGGGAGAAGGGGGGGGGAGCAACGCACGGTTCTTGCTAGTCGCTCAGTGGAGGAGGGGACTGGGGGGGGCTGTGGGCTGCCTCTAGACGTCCTTGCTGCAGAAGGGCTCCTGGCGCCCTGCTGCAGGACTGGGAGCTCTGCTCCGAGGGGATGTGTTGCCTGGAACGCATCACCGTGTCGCCCAGGGGGCCGCTGGCGAAGCAGCGCTCAAGCTCCACTCGGTGACCACATGGTCCAGGATGTCTAGGGCAGCGCTTGGGCTCCGCAGACAGCTTCCGTGGGCTTCCTTCTGTCTCCCGCAGTCACCCACCTTGGGCCAAAGAGCGTCCGCTCCCCTCTGTTCTTCCGTCTGCTCTGCCCCAGGACTCACCTCTTACCCCATGCAGGTGTCTCAGAAAGCTCGTGGCCTGCCACGGAGCGGCACGTTCGGCAGTCACTTTCCGGGTGCGGGCAGTGACATGCCAAGCTGCTTGTCACGGGACACCCAGTGGTACAGGGAGTCCCGAGCACAGAGCACAGGGCCTGGGAGAGTGGGACATGGCAGCGAGGTCGTGCGGGGGGGCTCTTGACTGTGACCAGGCTGCTCTTAGCACCTCGCTGGTCACAGGGGCTGGGGGTCTGCCCTCCGGCTGCTGTGTGTGCAAGGATGCTCACCCACCAGGAAGCGTGTGCGCGCGGCTCTGAATCTCGTCCGTGCGCCCCAGCTCTCAAAACTCCTCAGTCCGGCCCATTGCTCTCCTTGACCCCCCACGTTCAGTGTCCTTTCTGGACCACGTTGGCATCTGCTATCCTAAGCTGCACAGTTCTCCTTTACCGTTTTTAGCACCGTAGGTATAATCAAATCAGAAGGACCCCTGCCTCCTTAGCAATCTCCCTCTTGGTGACAGGTGGACATCCAGGTGCACCCCAGGTGTCTCCCTGACTCACCTTTCAGCTCATGTCTCCAGCGTACGGGCCACTGGCCTCAGGCCACATGTCCGGACCTGGGCCTCAGCCCCATGAGGCCTTCTTTATGAAGCAGCCCTCCTGAAGAGTCCTGACTTGTCCTGCATGGGCATGTCATAATTGTCAAACTCTTAAATCTTTTCAGGGTACATTGAAGATGGATATGTGAAGATTGTTGTTATAAGTTTTAAAAACAACACAGAACACCTACCTCTTATTGGAAAAGTTGGCCTCTCTTGGAGAACTGATATTTTTGATGGCTGTATAAAGGTAATTTGTTGTTTAATTTTTTTAATGTAACCTGGTTTCTGTGTGATAAAAGAAGTCTGTTGATGTATATCTGTGATCCTGCTTTTAAAGTCCTAGTTTGACTGTTCTAATGTCTGAAGATATGTGCACTTTCTCTTGGGCACAGTCGATGCATTCAACAGGTGCCTGTTGCGTGCCTTCTGTTTTTCGTTGAGTGTGGGGAGGGGGGCAAGCTTGCAGCACATTCTTGTACCCTTGCCCCCCTGAAGCCCCTCTGTCTGTCTGTCTTGTGGAAAAAGAGTGGTGCTCTCGGTCGGACCAGGCAAGTAGCATTTATTCAACATCTTAAATGCTCATACACCACGTTAAAAGTCAGGATACAGATACTTCCGTGAATACCCTTCCTTGAACAGTGACATTAATTGGTGTCTCATCAGAAGTTAGCCACATGGACGGGAGAGTTTATTTAGTGGTTGGGGGTTGGCAGGGATGGAGGGAGTTGGCAGGAGGAGGAGGAGGCGGAGGAGGGTGAGAGCCCTTGTAACTTAGTTTTGTTCTCTTCTGTGATCTTGTGCCCATGGCCGCCCCTGGTTCTCCCTGTTCGCCATCGTTATTTTGTGGGTTGAATAGCATTCTCATATTCCAGGTGAGCCAGTGGGATCTGTCTCCAGTAACATGGCTTTTTTCTGCCGTACAAGTTAGAACAATTACTGATGATGACTGAGACCAAGCATTCAAAGCAGTTAATTATCAGGTGTGCCTGGTGGCTCAGTGGGTTAAGCTTCTGACTTCAGCTCAGGTCATGGTCTCCCGGTGGTGAGTTTGAGCCCCGCGTCGGGCTCTGTGCTGACCGCTCAGAGCCTGGAACCTGCTTCGGATACTGTGTCTCCCTCTCTCTCTGCCCCTCCCCCGTTCACACTCTGTCTCTTTCTTTGTCTCTCTCTCTCTCACTCTGTCTCTATGTATATTTATTTATTTTGAGAGAGAAAGAGAGCATGAGCATGGGAGAGGCAGAGAGAGAGAGGGAGAAAGAGAATCCCAACAGGCTCCGGCTGACAGCCCCATGTGGGGCTTGATTCCATGAACCCTGGGATCGTGACCTGAGCTGAAATCAAGAGTCAGACGCTCAACCCACTGAGCCACCCAGGCGCCCCTCTTTTTCTTTATTAGAGTCAGATTATGATCTCAAATACATTTTAGAGACGCCTGCAGTGGCTGATGTCAGTCGTGAGTCCCCACACGACAGCTGCTCGGTAACTGGCCGCCATACTGCTTTACAGACCGTTCTGACAGCCAGGGTGGGAGCCCTGCTTCAGTCTTCGGTCTGATTCAGTGACGCTCGGAACGGAACCTGTCCCGCTCTGCCTTCTGTCCGTTCCTCTCAGACGTGCCGGCTGATGGGGTGTCCTTTGCTAAGGCTTTTCTTCTGTCTGTTCCTTTACTTTAGCCTTTCATTGCCTTGGTGTTTTTAATGTTTATCTGAACCTCGCTTCTAAATCCATTTTAATTCAAGCTAGAGATTTGAGTATAACCGTGGTTGACGGGTGAGTCACAGGCTCATGTGTGGTGATGGCTGTGCCCCCCGCCCTGTCCCCCACAAGATGCGTTGGCCAGTTTGCAGACCGTGCTGCAGCGGCCTGGGTGATTGAGGGGGTCGGGCACCTTGGGAGAACCCGACACCCCGCATCTGACCTCAGCCTTTGACGCTGCAGAGTTTTTCGGCAAAGGGGGTGCAGGTGGGGAGAACGGACTTGCCCTGCAGGGAAGGTGGGTTCTGTCTACTGCTCGGATGTGTACATTCTAGAAGTTCATGTTGAGAGAGACAGATTTGGGAAAGGGTAATTGGAAACAGTTCTCTTGAGGAGAAAGGCAGAAGGTAGGTAGAGGAAGATTTGAGGGAGGTTATAAAACACTTCCCCCCTTCTCTCCCCCTCCCCCCCCCCCCCCCCCCCCAGGACAGAAGTGATTTGTTATGGAGAAGGAACCAAATGGGAAAGGAGCCCCGCTTCCTGGGACTGGATGGGGAGTCAAGTGCAGAGGAGAGGAGGAGGGGGCCTCTGTGTCTGTGAAGCAGGGTCTGGGTCTCATCCGCTGAGTCTGGGAAGGGGAGGACCGGCGGAGGCTGTCTGTCCATCTCGAGCTTCCCCCGTGTGACCCAGCTGTCTGCAGGGAGTGAACTGGTGCCAGACGAGGGAAGGAGTAGCGGGGGGGGGGGGGGCGTGTAAGGACCACCAACATCCCCGTGCTGCGTCACCACTCCCACCCCCATTTATTGCTCTGTTGTGCAGCGGCCTCGCGTGGTGGAGCTGATGAGGGCGAGCTGGCCCGCCGCCCTCGTGACCCCGTCCCCTGGTGCCCCTCGCCCCACCCGCTGCTCGTCCTTCACGCTCTCGTGTGCACTCTGCCTCCGCCTGCCGATCTCTCTTTTCTCGTCTCCCTCCCCTCCCGCTCCATCCTTCACGACATGGCTTCGTTTGTCCCTCCAGGCACATATCAATCAGACCTGGAAAGCAGGTCTAATTGGCCGTTTTTCCCTTACACTTATGAATGTTTGTGTTTATTTTGTAGAGTTGTTCTATAATGGACATAACTCTTTTGGATGAATATGGGAAACCGTTTTGGTGTTTCAGTTCTCCGGTTTGCATGAGGGCTTTGGGGCCCTCTGACGGTCCCAGCTTCTTGGGACAGGCTTCCTGTGTTGACTATGTGGACTCGGAAGGAAAAGTGCACGTGGAGCTGGTGTGGATCAAGGAGACCGAAGAGTACTTCATCGTCAGCCTGGTCCTGTACCTGAGGATAGCGAAAATAAACCGCTGGTTTGGGACGGCATACTGAGTGCTGGCAGCGGGTGGCAGATCAGGGTCGCTGTTTGTTTACCTTGGACTCATCGTTCTGTTCTTGGCGTTGGGAGTTAAAATAAAGTAGTAGCCTGTTTGATGCCTTTTTCTTTCACGTTAGAAGTTGTGATTCCTGGGTCATTTTCAAGCTAATGTGTAGAGGACTAAGTTAAAGTTTAAAAACGTCCCAATGAAAATTCATACAAAATAAGAAACAAGGTATCTGCTTCTCTTCTGCCATGCAACTTAAAAAGCAGGGAATTCTTCTGATGCATATGATTGTGTGGTCACTGTGTGTGATCACTGTATGTGTAGATCTGTGTGACACTGTGCATGTATATGTGTGTGTGTGATCACTCCGTGTGTGTGTATGTGCATGTGTGATCACTGTGCATATGTGTGATTACTGTGTATGCATGTGTGTGATCACTGCACGTGTGTATGTGTATGTATGATCACTCTGTGCATGTGTATATGTGCAAGTGTGTGATCACTCTGTGTGCATGTCTATGTGTGCATGTGTGATCACTGTGTGTGCGTGCTTATGTTGTATAGATAGGTTTTTTTTCCCCTTATTGGGTAGAACCTCAAATAAGAAAATGTATATAAATATGAACCTCATTAAACTTAGAAAGTGCTGTGTTCCTGGCATTCAGCAACCACGTTAGTATTTGATGAAACAAAGTAAAATACCTACTGCACAGGGGAAGATGTATCTGAAATCATCAGTACAAACTGTTGCTGCTTAAGAGCAAAGTGTGATACAAAACGCAGTAACGCCCCCCCCCTCCCACCCCCCACGTTAGTGGAGGGTCTAAGTTAGTAGTGAGCACATCCTATGCAGAGATGTCTTCAGAGAACTGACAGGTACTTGGGCTTTAAATAGAGGTAACACGTATCTAAGCATATGTAGCTTCTTTAGGGATTTGGCTCTAAATTAGTTTAAGATTGTATAGATTATTTTTGATCATGTTTTTATCACCCACTTAAGGTTCCTCCCAGCAGTGACTTTTGAAATGCTTTGTTAGTCCTGCTGGGGGGAGCTCCCCCTCCTGTCTGTTTTCTGTTTTTCTCCTCCTGAGCAATCTGATCAGCTCTTTTGAAGTACGCGCCTGTGTGCGTGTGCAATAAAAGATCCGGGACAGATATCAGGTTCTTGGGCAAAGAAATGCGACAGTACAAAAGACTCCCGTCCTGACTCCGTCCCTGCCTTCCCGACCTCGGGGGCCCTGGGAAGGGAGAAACCTGAAATCTGTGTCAGAGCTGAGAGCGAGGGATGGTGTCATTTCCTGGCACCACCAGCAGGGTGTGGAGCACCTGCCTCACCTGGGTGAGCGTTGGGGGGTTGGTGGAGGGGCAGTGGCTTGGACAGTGCGGAGGACCAGATGTCACGAGAGGCAGGTGGCAGAAGTCACGTGTCACCTGCAGGATGGAACTGGGAAACGGGCACAGAACGGTGTGTGGTGACTCGCGGAACTCACTGGGTTAAATGGTAGAGGGTCCGGGTGTCCTGGAAACCCAGGAAGCGAGGTGGAGCCAGAGGAAGGGCACTGTTCCCTTTACCCACAGTGGAACAGTATTGGGATGGGAAGGGAAGCCGGGTACTTCTGGGATGGCAGTGCTGCGGGGAAACTCCTAGGCTGGAGCATCTCGTTATAACTCTTGGCCATGTTGAATCGAATGTGTGCGCAGTGTCTGTCTTGCCGCCAGGCTGCTCGCCTCGTGAGCAGGACTGTGCTGTCTGGTTTGCAACTCTTATCTCTAGCACCTAACAGGATGCCAGGCTCATAATACTATTTGTTGAATCAACAGAAATTATTATAGGAAACATAGCAGCAGCTATGGGAGCATGAAGGAGGCAGGGATGAATTCTGACTGGATGAGCCTGGGCGCCCTTCACTCTGAGCTAACTTTGGGCAGTGCCGGGCAAGGAGAAGCGAGGCGGAGGAGGGACGTTCACAGGGCGACTGTGAGTGTCTCATCAGAGCAACGTGTGTGTGCCACGGGTCACCAGATGTTGCTAGAAGACTCCTCCCTGACCCCACCTGCCCTTTCATGGGTCTGAGATAATGTTCAGCAAATTTTTAAAGCCGTTTCTTCTGAGATTTGTCTACATTTTTCTAAATAATATTCTTCTCTGGCGGTTTCTGGATTTGTCTGTTGTAGACACCTATTGACCTAAGGTAGATAAAATGAGCCCTTTTACTCCAGCCACGTCCCCTCTTGCATCATACCAAATACAGCAGGTTTATAAGAGTTGTTATGGTTTGTTGATTATGGCTGTGTTACCATTCTCTGCAGAGTCACATAGAGCCACACGCTTCTTTCTTTTACAACTTTGTATTTTTCTTGGAAGAATAACTGCCCTCCCATTTTGCTTACATGGTTTTAGCGAACCTAAAATTTTCTTAAAAGTTCTGTTCAGTCTTTCCTATGTTGGTCAGTTTTTTTCAGTGGTTTTTCTTTTCTCTAAATCAATCGTGTCAAATAATCTATGAATTCTGTTTTTTTTTTCCCCCAGGCTGTTTCATTTTCAGAGTTCTGCCTCTATTTGTTTTAAACTTCTTTCTAGCCTTGCTAGATGGCTCTCATCCTGGGAAGTTTCCTGTGAGAATCTTGTTTTATGGAGTCTTATCTTCCTCTTTCTTGATTTCTGCCCCTTTTTCAGTGGTACACATTCTCGTGCAGCTAAGAAAAGAGACATGGGGGACACATTTTAAATCTACAAATTCCTGAAAACGTCTACTGGATAGCTTAATGGGGTACAAATGGTAGGATAACAAATATTTTCTCTTAGAATGCGAAGACATTTTTTTCACGGCTTTTTATCTTAACGTTGTTATTGTTGGAGACGATGCCATTTTGATTGTCCTTCTTTCGTGTGTGACCCTTTTTTCTTCCGTCTCTGGAAGTTTTTAGAATTCACTTTTCTTCATTGGTATTTGAAAATTTCAAGAGAATGTGCCTTGGAGTAAATCTTTTTCATTCATTATGGGTCATTTTAAGAATTTTTGTACTTTAATTCTGGATTAAAACATTTTGTTATTTTCTCTCTCATCTTTTTCTGTAACTTTTATCAGTCATCATCCTTTTTGGATCCTCTCGTCTTTCCAACCTTCTGTCTTAGTCTTGTGTTCTGCTTCTGTAATATTGTCTCCATTTGGCTTTTTAATGTTTCTGTTGAATTTTCTTTTTTATTTTGATGATCTGCTCAGGTTTTTATAAGAATCATTTTTCTAGTTGTCAAACCTTCTTTATCTGTCTCACAAACGCAGTATTTTCCTAAAAACAAGGGTTGGCAAACCTTTTTCCGCAAAGGGCCCAATAATAATCTAGCCTTTGTGAGACATACGGCGACCGTTGCCTCCACTCGGCTGAGTCACTGCACCGTGAAATCAGCTACAGACGGTGCACACGTGAGTGGCCCTGGTATGTTCCAGAAACCTTTATTTACTAGAACAGGCAGCGGGCTGAACTTGGCCCTGCGGCTTTAGTTTTCAAGTCCTGCACAAAAGTCTCTGAGGTTATTTTTAGTTTTCAAAAAGCTTTTCATCCTCACCATTTGGCAAAACTGTGGTAGATTCTTTGAGGCACAGAATCTTCAATGGATGCTAAAATGTGTGGGTGAAGGTAGGAGGAGGAACAGGTTAGGGACGTGGTCTCAGAGCGTCTTGCCACAAGGGACTTGCTGTTGCAGAGGACAGAACAGTGCATTCACAATGGAGGAACCTGGAAAGACAGCACTTTATTTTTTTTAAATGTTCATTTATTTTTGAGAGAGAGCGAGGGAGAGAGCACAGAGCCCTGACGCAGGGCTCGAACTCATGAACTGTGAGATCATGTCCTGAGCTGAAATCAAGAGTCACACACTTAGCTGACTGAGCCCCCCACCCCGCCCCCGGGCGCCCCTGGAATGACAGCACTTGAGCCCATTCTCCGTTGCTGCCCTCTGGCCAGATGCCTCCTTCTCACACTGACTGCATGCTCTGCCAGGCCCTGACACGCCGTGCCTCGGCGGCCCCCTCTCCCCACGTGGGTCCAGAGGCAGCATGGTATGGCCACCAGTTGATACGATTTCAGGGTCTCTTGATTCTGGGACACAGCATAGTGATGCTCAGATAGGTAAAAGGCCACTCGGCCTGAGGGAGGGCTGCCGGGCAGGGCCCTGCGGGGAGCTGTACCTGGGGACGGGGTGACACCAAGCTGGAGCCGGAAAGGCATCTTTTGAATGAAAAGCAGGGTAGGGATAGCTAGGTTTGGAAGGCTCCTCGTGGACTGGCACATTCGAATAATCATCTACACAGGGGCAGTCCCTGTTTATCTGGTTCCTGGACCGGGGCCACTCGGGCAGGTGCATTGTGGCACCGGAGGGTGAGAGCCCTTCTGGTAAAGGAAGTGGGTGGGATGTGGACTTAACCAGTCGCTCAGGAAGGGGACTGATCTGCCTCCAGGCTCAAGACCAGCTCACCGCAGCATTAAGAAAAGCCCCAGACCACGGCAAAACCAACCGCTTACAGCCTCTCCTCGGCGTGGATGTCCTCACCACCCTCCGTACATGCTTCCTCCCTCACCAGGAGCCCTCCCACCTGCCCTGCTGCAGGTGCCCACTTTGTTCGATCTGACTTCATGGCTGTAGGAATCAACAATGGGCGAAGTGGAGACATTTCTCAAGAGTTAAGACATACTAGTATGTGTCATAAATCTCCCACATCATGCCCAACATAAGTAATAAACCTTTTCAGGGACTGGCCATCTTAGTATTATATGTAGTGACATTAAATTGTCAGACACATAAGATAAAAGCATTTAGTGATCATACGCCTTTGTCTGAGAGGAAGCCTTTTGTCTGAAAAGCAAGAGGAATTAGGCTGGATGTCTTAAATACCACGAGAGGATCGAGGCTCACGGAGCTAAATCAATTCAAGAAAAGTAACAGGTGCAAACTTAATTATGCCTACCACTAGTGTAGAATAAGGGGGGATGTATTTTTATTTCAAATGTACTCCAGATGTAAAATCGTGCCTGATTTAAAATCAGACCAGAGATCTGACTGGCCAGGTGGTTTTTATGTGTGGCTTGACTGCCGTGTCCTTGTCATTCAGCTCTCACAAGTCC